GAGACGGGGTTTCACCATGTTGACCAGGATGGTCTCGATCTCTTGACCTCATGATCCACCCGCCTCAGCCTCCCAAAGTGCTGGGATTACAGGCTTGAGCCACCGCGCCCGGCTGATGAGGGAATTTTCAAGCCCTCCCGGAGATCCCTGCAGGCTGCTATGTCTGACTTGTTTGCCTGATATGGTTGGTGAGCCTGTGGGGGGAAGCAGGGCTAGATGCCTCCAGAGCCCCCTGGGTGTGGAGAATCCCACCTTTGTGTCAGCCACCTCTGGGTGTTTCTGGAACCACTACATGTCCCAGTGTCCACTGTGACTTGCCTGGCAGCAGAACTGCATTTGGGAGGTGGAGCGGTGGCTGGTCCTGCAAATCAAAGGCTGTCATCTTTGTTTCTTTGTTTTTTCAAGTCAGAGTTTCTTTCACTCTTGCTGCCCAGGCTGTAGTGCAGTGGCATGATCTTGGCTCACTGCAACCTCTGCCTCCCGAGTTCAAGTGACTCTTCTGCCTCAGCTTCCCAAGTAGCTGGGATTATAGGCATGTGCCACCATGCCCGGCTAATTTTTTTTTTTTTTTTTGTATTTGGTAGAGATAGGGTTTCACCGTGTTGGTCAGGCTGGTCTCGAACTCCTGACCTCCAGTGAACTACCCACCTCGGCCTCCCAAAGTGCTGGGATTACAGGCATGAGTCACTGCACCCAGCCCCAAAGGCTGTCATCTTTGACACCTGTCAGTTAAGTGCTACTATGGAAGGGGCTCTGGTTTAGACACCTGTGAAAATACATCTCAGGGCCCAGATGATCCAGCTGCCTCCAGCCTTGGACCACCTGCCATGTGGTGGACACTCGGCCCCTGCCAGAGCACGTGCTGATCAGCCAGGCATCTGCACAGACCTGTCGGGAATGAAGGACTAGAGACGTCCCTCCGCGTCCTGAGGGCTGCTGAGAGGGAGGCTCTGTTGCTCTGATCTGGCGGCAGCATCTCCTCCACAGCAGCCTCCTCAGACTGGAGTGCAGGGAGAGGCCAGCAGGCAGTTAAGGGGTATGTGTGTTTAGTGTTTGGCAGCCTTGTCATTGAAAAACTTTGGTTTAGGGTTGGTTTTTTGTTTGTTTGTTCTAGTAGTTTCGATACTTAAAAAAAAAATACATCTATATGGCCAGGCGTGGTGGCTCATGCCTGTAATCCCAGCACTTTGTGAGGGCTGAGGCGGGTAGGTTGTGAGGTCAGGAGTTCAAGACCAGCCTGGTTAAGATTGCAAAACCCCATCTCTACCTAAAATACAAAAATTTGCCAGGTGCGGTGGCAGGCTCCTGTAATCCCAGCTACTTGGGAGGCTGAGGCAGGAGAATCTCTTGAACCCCGGGGGCAGGGGGCGGGTAGACGTTGCAGTGAGCTGAGATCACGCCACTGCACTCCAGCCTGGGTGACAGAGTGAGTTTCCATCTCAAAAAATATCTATATCTATAGGCTGGGCGTGGTGGCTCACACCTGTACTCCCAGCACTTTGGGAGGTCGAGGTGGGTGGATCACCTGAGATCAGGAGTTTGAGACCAGCCTGGCCAACATGATGAAACCCCGTCTCTACTAAAAATACAAAAAATACAAAATACAAATAATACAAATACAAAAAATACAAAATACAAATACAAAAAATACAAAAATATATGCACACATATAAACGTTTTATTGAATTTTAACATACAAAAATGTGTACACCCTTCAGATGTGCTGTTGACAAATTTTCATGTAATGAACAAACCTGTGTGATTAAGGAGTGTACTCTGTGGCTGGCTTGCCCCAGGGCACGCTGCTGACCCCTGGTGGCCCACAGTGGTGCTGCCTGGTTGAACCGAGGCGGGCGGATCCTGCCATGCGAGTCCCTATTGCTAGTGTCTGGCTTGTGCTCCACTGTTCGCTACACTACCGTGTGTGTGTGTGTGTGTGTGTGTGTGTGTGTACTTTACCCCCCGTGAGGCATTTATGGTGTTTCTTGTTGGGAGCTCTGTGATGCCCTGAGGAGCTGGCCAGGCATTGGCAAGGGGTGCATTTCTACCAGGTGTGTGCCTGTGTGGAGTGGCCAGGCCTCAGGGTGTGTGTGCTCAGCTCTGGAGCAGCCGTGTGAGTGCAGTGGTGCGTGTCTTTTCTGCTGGAGCCATTCTGATCAGTATTCGGTGATATCTCATGAGTTTTTGTATTAATAGACTTACTTTTTTTTTTTGAGACGAAGTCTTACTCCATCGCCTAGGCTGGAGTGCAGTGGAGTGATCTTGGCTCACTGCAACCTCCACCTCCTGGGTTCAAGCAATTCTCCTGCTTCAGCCTCCCAAGTAGCTGGGATGACAGGTGTCCACCACCATGCCCAGCTAATTTTTGTGTGTGTGTTTTTAGTAGAGATGGGGGTCTCACCATGTTGACCAGGCTGGCCTTGAACTCCTGACCTCAAATGATCCACCTGCCTCAGCCTCCCAAAATGTTGGGATTACAGGTGTGAGCCACTGTGCCCAGCCAGACTTATACGTTTGGCAGTTTTAAGTCTACAGAACAGAGCGGAAAATGCAGAGTGCACTCCCACCCCACGGTCCAGCCAGGTTCACATGACTGACGTCTTGCACAAGTGTGGCGGTCCTTGTGTTTTAAGTGTCACCTTGATGGAGGTAGTGGACATGCAGGAAGGCAGGAAGATTCACTCTGTTTTTTTTTTTTTTTTTTTTTTTGTGAGACCAAGCCTTGCTCTGTCGCCAGGCTGGAGTGCAGTGGTGCGATCTCCACTCACTGCAACATCTGACTCCTGGGTTCAAGTGATTCTCCTACCTCAGCCTCCCGAGTAGCTGGGATTACAGGCACACACCATCACACCAGGCTCATTTTTGTATTTTTAGTAGAGATAGGGTTCACTATGTTGGTCAGGCTGGCCTCAAGCTCCTGACTTTGTGATCTGCCTCCCTCGGCCTCCCAAAGTGCTGGGTTTCCAGGCATGAGCCTGGCTTATTCAGTCTCTTTAGGGTACAGGCCACAGTCTTGCTGTATACCCACCCCAGTCAAACACAGAACATACAGCCCCATCCCCTCAACGGCCCCCACGTGTCCCTTTGTCATCAGCCACTCTGCACCCCCGGCACCTGGCAACACTGACCTGTTCCCTGGCCTACAAGTTTGCCTTTTCTGAGCATCCTGCAAACAGAAGGACACAGTTTGTAGCCTTCAGAGTCCCGCTTCTTCCACTCAGCATGGTGGGTTCGAGTCACATCCACGTCACTGTGGGTGTCACTAGTCACCCCTCTTTACTGCTGACTAACGTTCCCATACGGAATGGACCGCAGTTATCCATTCGCTGGTTAAAGGACATTTGGGTGGTTTTTTCCATTTCTGCGTTGTGGATAGGCCTGCCGTAAACATCGGCACACAGGCTTTTGCATGAACACATTTTCACATCTCTTGGGTAAGTAAATACGTAGGGGTGCAGTTAATCGCCAGGTCAACAGTAAGTGTCTATTTAACTTATGAGAACGGCGAAAATGGCATTTTGAATCTCTTCCTTCCAGAACGCATTCGCTCCTCGTAGCTGTGGAGCCGAGTGGCTAGACATGGTGCGTGTAGGGCGTGTGCAGAGAGCAGGGCATGAGCTGGCAGCACCCAGCTGTCTTAGGACTGGAGGAAGTCTTCAGAGGCGCCCGGGGCTCTTCACAGCAGCTCTTAGTCCCTGGGCAGGTGCGGCCAGCACACCAAGGAAATGGCCCTTTCAGTGCTAGGAAGGGTCACCCTAGGCAGGAGACTGGGATGGAGTGGGGCCTGGGGGAAGGGGGTACTCGTGACCGGGAGTGTGGGCGAGGACCTCTGGGGAGCGCCTGCCGCTGTCGACGCCTGTTCCTGTGTCCACCCTCTAGTGTGGCATCGTCCTGGGGGCGCTGCTCCTGCTCTTCTGCTCCTGGATGACGCACCGGTCGTGCATGTTCCTGGTGAAGTCGGCCAGCCTGAGCAAGCGGAGGACCTATGCCGGCCTGGGTGAGCGCGCTCTTGACTAGGTGGCTCTGGACCTGGGGCAGGGGCCTTATGCCTTTTATTTATTTATTTCTCTACTTTATTCTTCAAGAGTTCATTGAATAGCAGGATTTTTTTCTCTTATTTTAAGATGTAATGCTACAGGAAAGTTAGCCGGGCGTGGTTGCATGTGCCTGTCCTCCCAACTATTTGGGAGGCTGAGGTGGGAGGATCCCCTGAGCCTGAGAATCTGAGGTGGCAGTGAGCTGTGATCATGCCATTGTACTCCAGCCTGGGTGAAATAGTGAGATCCTGTCTCAAAAAAAATTAAAAAGGCTGGGCGCGGTGGCTCAAGCCTGTAATCCCAGCACTGTGGGAGGCCGAGGCGGGTGGATCACGAGGTCAAGAGATCGAGACCATCCTGGTCAACATGGTGAAACCCCG